AGATCCAAACGCTTGTAACATACGTTTGGAACAGATAAACATTTTGAACAAACTCTTGCACCATGTCTCTGAAAACACTTGCAACATATGCAAACATGTGCAACATTCCCAACCTACTTTTACAACATCCATGTAAAACAACTACAACATACCTCTTAAACGTCTAAAATACTTGAAACATATATTTGTGACATAGGGGAGGGGGAGCCTGTGCCAGTCAATTCCAACCGTCGGGGTGGGCCCCAGCGACGAGTGCCCGCGCGCGAGCACTACTAGCATTCAGCACCCGCGTGCGCGTGCGAGCACCACCGCCACTAGTGCCACCAGCACCAGGCTTGGGTCGGCCGGACGGGCAGCGCGCGCGACAGGCGGAGCGAGCACCACCAACACCGGCGCGGGTGATGAGAGGGAGCAAACAGTGCACGCAACGGGAGGGGGGCGAGAGGTGCGTGCGACGGGACACCTCTTGCAACATTAAACCTAAGAATTGTTCTACGCGATAAATAAGTCTTTAGCTTCATTAGAAAAAATATTCGATAAGAAAATATCATCCAAATATATTTTAATTGGGATATGGTTTTAAAGCTTTTTTTTGTCACGACAAATTGTGGTGCATCTAGATTTTCATTTGGATGCATTGTTTACAAACTTTCATGTGCAAGTGTTTTTACACACGATGACGCCATCTGTGACTGTATGGTTCCACTATTCAAGCATGTTAATACCATTTCGGTACCAAGTGACTAGCTTCTTAGCTAGTATAGATAGAAGTAGCTCCATTACGCCCTGACCTCAATATTAGCCAATATCCACCATTTTGGTCCATACCGGCGATCATTCTGGCTATTCTGGACATACTACTACCTATTGGAACTCAAAAAGCATTCCATGTGATGTACAATTTTTACGAACTTGTTGAATCAATTATCATAAGCCTTTTCGCAAAAAAAAAAATATCTTAAGCCGAACTTTATGTATTTTAGAATAATATATAGAATTATTTAAATGTAGTTATATTTATAAATGTTACTATTTCACTAAAGCCAGGAATGGTACATCAATATAGTCCGGTACCGTGCTTCAATTCCAATAGAAACAATTAAATGGTCTCTACAACGATATTGTAAGTATGCCTCTACTTCAATTTTCTCTAACGGGCGTGGTGAAAAAATTGGCCTGCACTTGCTCACCTGCCCAATAAGAAAAAGTAGCAAGAGTTTCAAAAGGAAAAGGTAGCAACTGGTAGTTCTCTTGTGACAAGTCATGTAAGTGAAATTGTAGCATTCCACGATAATTGGATGAGGCCTTTAGATAATTTGTCCGTTCTTGGAGTGTATTGATAGTTCAGTTATCGTGTCAAGGCCCATGTGTCCCAGGTAGATCGGTCTATGACTCTCCATGAATATCGTGCGTTTAAGCACTAGGCTGTAGTGGCTCGCGGATACTTGGTTGTCGGTGGAACGCGGGCGGATATTTTGCTGTCGTTGGCTTTTCGGCCCCCTCTCTCATAGATGTTGTTGTTGGGAGCGTGCTGGCCTCTCTTGGCGGATATTTGGTTGTCGTGGTCGCTTGGTCTTCAATGGCAAATGCTTTGCCACCAGTTGCTCATGGCTTTGTCTTTTCTCTAGGTAACCATTACGTTGATGTATCCTTTCTTGTAGGCCTAGTTTGTAGGTTATAGGGGTTGAGGGCAGTCGCTCGCTCTCTTTCTTTCTTTACTTCTCTTTCTTGTTCTTACGTTTCTTCCTAGGTCACTGTTCACTATTTTGGTGGTTTGTAATATATGCTACGAGGGTTCTCTCGTAGTTGTATCGTGTAACTTTCTTCTTCTTAATGAAATACGGGTATAACCATATAATCCCCGATCGTGAAAAAAGGTTGTAGTGTCTCGCTAAAAATGGTTAGATCGTGGATTCATTGTTGTTTTATATAAATTTTTCTTTGTCAGGAGTATCTATCAGGAAGCTCTAGCTTGGAATTAGACTTGATTGTCCACCGAAGTTGAAACATCAATCAGAACAACTCATGGCTCTTAAAAATCCATTCTATCAAATTAGGCTTCCTTATTAACTGAGGCCCTCTTTAGACCATAGAAAAAACAAATGGAAAGATATGGTATTATTATTCCTATGGAATGAAGTTACTATGGCCATGTTTGGCGGAGCTCTGGCTCTAGAAAATTTTAGATCTAGAGCTGTAGAAATATTAAGTGTAGTTACATGACTAGTTTTTATTTATTTTTTAGATTAATTAAAAATAGTTAAACCACTTCAATTGCCCTAAAAACTATAGATCCAACATAAATCTTGACGCTAGAGCTGTGCCAAACGAGCCTGTAGTGTTCTTTAGTATCCTTTGGTTCGTAGAAACAGTTTGTAGGATAACATACAAAACTTTACTTTGCATTCGATTTCAAAGGAAAATCATGAGCAAGAAAAGGTATCTACTCATATTTCATTGTTTCTTGTATCATGTTCATCTAGATCTCGATTTCTACAATTTTTCTTTTGTTATTTTTCATTCTTTCTTTGTTTTTCATATATGTATTTATATCCTATTTCTATGTTCTTACTATTGCTCTATTTTCCAATCTAGTGCTCGGAAGACGGAAGGGTCCCTAGGCCGGATGACTTGCTTCCCGTAGAATGATAGAGCGCGTGTAGGACCTAATATTTTTTTTAATTTTTTTTTTTGTGAAGCAAAGCTCTTTCCATACTCAATTGTCACAGCGGCCTCGCTGGACACTAGGGCCTCGAGCTCATGAGGTACAGCATCCCAAGCAGTTTGCACACCACTGGGCAAATTACAACCAAGTGCAGCAAGTTCATGCGCCACATGATTACAAGAACGATAACCAAACATTTATCCTACTTCTTATAAGATCAGAAGCTAGTAGGATCTTGAGCTCAGTTATCACCCTGCTCATCACAGATAGCCGGTACAACGCCTCGCCCACTGGGCGACGACGAGGATGCAGTTGCTTGGCCGGTCTGTGGTCGCGTGCGTCAGGTAGTCAGGAAGGTCGCCAACACCAAGGCCCGCGAGCGTTTGGCAACGACGGGATATGATTCATATAGTAAGTGTACCTTTAAATGTTTCGCATATTTTTAGAGGTATGTTTCAAGTATTTTATATAGATATTATAACAGTAGATTGAGATGTTGTATGCGTTGTAATGATTGTACACGTATGTTACAAGCATTTGTCCCCAATGTTTCATCTATTTTTTCAGACATATGTTGCATGTGTTTTATTTAAATATCACGTATGTTTTGCAATGGTCACACACATATTTTTTCTGGTGTTTCAAACGTATGTTGCAAGTGTTTTAATTGTTTTAGATATATGTCGTAGGTGTTTCACTTTATTTTGAACGGATGTTGCAAGTGGTTTATCTAGATGTTGTAAAAGTAAATCTTGATATTGTATATATTTATCTACATCAGTCACCTGTTGTAGCTGCTGGACCCGCTACATGCACGTGTACTTAGAGCGGGCGGCATGGTGCGAGCGCGGGAACGGAGCGGCGCGGTGCACGAGCGCGTACAGGCCACGGTACGGACACGGGACATGAGCGACGCGAACCTCCATGTGAAACAAACGTAGCAGGTGCGGACGTTCAGACTATGGCCTCGTTCAGACGTCCCGGACTAGGCGTTCCGAATCTAATTCGCTTGCGCTGAAACCAACAAGCCAATAATATTTTTCTCTCATAAAAAACCAGTATCAGCTAGCTCAAATCAGCATCAGTAACAACCAGCGAACAGGCCCTAAAAAGGAAAGACATTCTTTTTATATCCTACCTTGCTGGTGAAGGGAGCCTAGCTCTTGTTTAGTTCGCGGTTAGGTATTAGTATTCGGTACTGTAGTATTTTCGTTTGTATTTGACAATTATTATCCAATCATGGTCTAATTAGGCTCAAAAGATTCGTCTCGTAATTTACAATCAAACTGTGTAATTAGTTATTTTTTTATCTACATTTAATACTCCATACATGTGTCCAAGATTTGATGTGATGGAGAGAAAGTAAAAAAACTTGGAATCTAAACAAGGCCCTATAGTACCATTGGATCCGTTCGAACTGTAGAGACTCGAGTCCTCTTGTTGAGGGGGTGTTTAGTTACCCAAAATTCTCAACTTTGGCACTATATAAAAAGAAGATTTTTCGTCACATTAAATTTACGGTACATGTATGGAGTACGAAATGTTGACGAAATCAAAAACTAATTATACAGTTTGGTTGTACTTTACGAGACGAACGTTTTGAGCCTAATTAGTCAACAATTAGATAATTATTACCAAATAAAAACAAAGCATACAGTGTTTTTGTCGGCGCCGAATCGGTGCAACGAGGCCTGAACCAAATAGTCACCGCCTAGGCCCTAGTAGGAGCTGAGCTCAAAACTTCGAGCACGGATAGAAGAGAACAAAATTCGTATATGTAAAATAAAATGGCACAGATCGATCTGATTATACTCAAAAAATATTTATACATGATTAATTATCGAATGGATATAATAATTTTTAATAACAAGTGTGTATATATATCTTAATACTAGCATGTTTGGACGCTGTCGACAGGCAGCCACAATCTCAATGTTTAGTGCCACCGCAATAGTGACGCTGAAATTGCTCGCGACTGAGCTTGTGCGACTACTGCCTTCGGCCATTAATGAACGAAACAAAAATAAAAAATGGTGGCATGTGCGGCACACAGTTTGCAATTTGGGAAACACAGTACAATAATTTCCAGATGCTAATTTAGATTAAATTAAAATAAAAAGTAACTAAATTACACACAAAACCTCCCTCGTCTGCCAGACCCTTTTCCGTTTTCTCCCTCCCTGTCGCTCGCCGCTCCTGCGCCACCGAGCTCGCGATCGGATTCGCTCCCTCTTCGCCGCGCCCCACCACCCCCCATCGCCGCTGGCTGGGGATCTCTAGGGTTTAGCGCAGTCGCCCGGCTCGACCCCGCGCCGCCCCCGCCGCCGCCAGCACCATGGTACGTGGATCTGAACCCGCCCGCTCCCGAGTCTCCAATCCATTCGCCGGTTTTTCTCGAGCCCGGTTCATGACGTTTGTTTGCTCAGAGATCTGACCAATGTTGTTTTCCGCTCGTGTTCCCCGCAGCCGCTCAGGTTGGAGATCAAGGTGCGCCTGCCCGACCTCACTGGATCTCGGTCTCCACGTCGTCCTTCTACTGTTCGTGCCGCTTTGATTTTGCGCTGATTTCAGTTTGATTTTGTTTCCTTGGTGGTGATCAGCGGAAGTTCGCTCAACGGTCGGAGAGGGTCAAGTCGGTGGATTTGCATCCCACGGAGCCATGGTGAGTTCCGATTCTGTTCTGGGGTCGTTCACTGAGTTTTCAGCCATTGCCGCTGCTTGTGCTTACCGTTTTGGTGTGCTTGATTGTGCAGGATCCTGTCGAGCCTGTACTCGGGGAGTGTCTGCATCTGGGATTATCAGGCACAGGTAAGGGCCCGAACTGGATTTCGTAAACGACATGTGCGTGAATTCATTCCAATGCTAGCAAATAAGATACAGTATGAACCAAACATAACATTAGGGTTTACTCTCTCAATGCTGGATCCTTTATTCCAGACATCTTTGCTGTTGCTATGATCTATGGTGCTGCCTATTGTTTGGTGGGCTGGCATGCAGTAGAATTTTGCATGTCTAAGTTTCAGTTATGAGCTTTAAAGAACTTTACTTTATGGTCGCCTTGTTTATTTCTCTCATTATATGTTGTTCAAGTATATAGGTCATTAGGGCTACAAACAGCACTTGATCGTTCTGATACATTATTACACATCTAGATTCCACACTGAATTTTCGATCCTGGGTTACCGTTGATAGTTCAATTTCATTTGCCACCGAGTGACCCTTCATATTGGCTCCGCATGACGATTATGTCCCCCCCTTTTTTAGCCAGTCTGCATTTCTGTGAGCTAAGTTGTTAACCTAATGACCTTTTACATCGTTGTATAAGATGACCTGTTTCTGTTCCATTTCTGTCACCAATCTTCACCTTCATGATTGTGGGTCTGAACCAATGTGTCTGAGTTGCATTGTCGAACTATTGCGTATCATGTATATGCACATGCAGTTCTGCAAGATCTGTATGCTTGAGCACAAAATGTGGTAAATTTACCTTAGGTACTACAATAAGAAATCAAAATGATTTTGTGAAAATCATGAGTATGACATAAGAAATATTGTCTCATTTCTGGGAAATTAGGATCCAGCTAGTGGATCTATGTATATGTCATGAATGGATATGATTTACCAGTGCATTGTTGTCATTTTACTTATAACAAGTATATATTTGTTGTTGCCATAAAAATAAAGTTGGATTCTGAGAATTTTATTCATTAACATGTTTGTTTTTGTATATACCTTTTCAGGCAATGGTGAAATCATTTGAAGTTTCAGAACTGCCAGGTATCCAAAGCACTTAGATTCACGTGGAATGAGAACTTTTGGCGATCAGGATGATGCTAATGTATATTTTAAACTTATTTTCAGTGAGGTCGGCAAAATTTATTTCAAGGAAACAATGGGTTGTAGCTGGTGCAGACGACATGTTCATTCGTGTCTACAACTACAATACCATGGACAAAGTTAAAGTTTTTGAGGCTCATACTGATTACATCAGATGTGTTGCGGTCCATCCAACTCTACCATATGTGCTGTCATCATCTGATGACATGCTAATAAAACTGTGGGACTGGGATAAAGGGTGGATGTGCACTCAAATATTTGAGGGACATTCACACTATGTGATGCAGGTTACTTTCAATCCAAAGGATATTAACACCTTTGCAAGCGCATCTCTTGACCGCACTACAAAGGTATGCCTTTACAATGTTATGCAGCAACATGTTAGTTGTGACTGAGTCATGATATGATCTTGTTCATTCATACTTCTTACTCTGAGATTGCAGATATGGAGTTTGGGCTCTCCAGATCCAAACTTCACACTCGATGGACATCAAAAGGGTGTCAACTGTGTTGACTACTTCACTGGTGGTGACAGGCCCTATTTGATTACTGGTTCTGATGACTCCACTGCAAAGGTACATTTTTGTACTTAGCTGTATGTTTTAAATGTTTGGTTGCTCTATGCAGTCTTATGATGGGGCATTTTATGGCAAAATAGGTCTGGGATTACCAGACTAAGAGCTGTGTTCAGACACTTGAAGGACATACACATAATATTTCTGCTGTTTGTTTCCATCCTGAGCTCCCTATAATCATTACTGGATCCGAAGATGGTACAGTTCGTATATGGCATTCGACAACTTACAGGTAACATGTTTTTATTTATCTCTATGTTTGCTTGTTTATGTAAGCATAGGTCTGTCGTTTTTTCATTATTACAATTTGGCCATTTATCAATTATCAATTCTCCATCCTGAAACACAGATCAACTGACTTCCTCATAAATCAGAATGCTAAACAACTATCTTGTTTCTAGAACAATTGGGCACAACTAATTTTAATGTAAAGGCCTATGGGCATGACATTGGTATTTAACTTTCTGTTCTTATGGTTGAAAAGTTTAAACCCACAGTAACTTATTAATTCCATGGTGTGCTAACTTAAATGTATGAGCTTATCTGCCATGTCATTGAACGAAATATGCTTTATTTTACTTTTTATGATATGATACCTTTCTATTATTTCTTATGATAGCATGCAATTGAACATCTCTCACCAAACCCCTATCTGTGCATTATATTTTTCCTTTTTGCATGTGTGTCAGTACCTGTCTTGCATGCAGGATAGCACAATTACATTCTGTGTGTACACTGTGTAGTGACATGTAGGGTGTGAAACAAAAGGACAGTGGTTAGTTTTAACTATTTTGCTTACCAAAATTACAAATACTATTCCCTCCATTCCAAATTATAAGACATTTTGGCTTTTCTAGAAACATAGCTTTTACTATGCACTTAGATATACACACACTATGTCTAGATACATAGTTAAAGCAATGTATAGAAAAGCCAAAACGTCTTATAATTTGGAATGGAAGGAGTACTTGTTTTTGGAATCAGTCTTAGTAATGGAGCCTGGCTCAGTGGGAGGTGTGGTGTGCACTCCCACCACCCAGATCCAAGTTCGAGTCCTCTTGAACTTGAATTTGGGTGCCTACTGCCTATTCCTTCTTATTTACAATGCCCACCTAGTTCCTCCTAGGTTGGTTGAGTTAAATTATTCTTGCATCTGTGATAATCTGGAAAATGTCCTATACTGATTGAGTCTGAACACTGCTTGTGTTACTCTTTTCATATCCTGAGATGTTCTTTGTTTTATACTTGAACTATTTTGTAGACTTGAGAACACACTAAACTATGGCCTTGAGAGAGTCTGGGCTGTTGGATACATGAAGGGATCAAGAAGGTAAGATCATTTGCATTCCGCTTTTGTTTCAGTAGTGCTGTCAGTTAAATGGACACTGGCTATTAATATAGCATTTCACTTTTGAGTAGAACTAGAAGCATCATATCACTTTGTGTCTCTTAATGGTATGTATGTGTAGTTGTGTCATTCTGCTAGTAAATCAACTATAAATGCTATCTACAAATTGTTTTTTGTTTGCCTTAAAGAGGGCCACACTAGTTAGCTGATATCCTCACGGGGAATGCAGTATGGTCGATTGTTTAGTGGTTCCAAACTTCGTATAAACCCAGTATGTTATTCGATGGGCGGCTACTGCTACAATTTCATGTCTCCTGTTCATTTCTATCTTTCTTTCAATGTTCATGCTTGTAGCTCTTAAGTTGTTCACATTCTTAAGACAGCCAACGGGTTGTTTTGTCCCTGTGGTTGAGATTTTTGGTATGTATTTTCTAATACTGAAACAAGTATACTGTTTGGTGACTGTCTAGGATGGTGATTGGTTATGATGAGGGGACCATTATGATAAAAATGGGCCGTGAAGTACCCATAGCAAGTATGGATACCAGTGGGAAAATCATTTGGGCGAAACATAATGAAATACAAACTGTAAATATCAAGACAGTCGGTGCAGGCTTTGAGGTAAGTTGGTCTGTTTCAGCATAAAATGAAATAATTTAGCAAGCACTTGTCTAACAGGTTATTGTATTTTGCAAATCAGGCCACAGATGGAGAAAGATTACCCTTGGCTGTAAAAGAGTTAGGAAGCTGTGATTTGTACCCACAGGTACTTTTGGATGCTGATATATTCTTTGTATTCTAAAATTTGTTACTATTGTAGGTTTATAGTTTAGTTATTAACTGGGTATTTTTTTTCTTTTCTTATTTGGCAGTGCTGATTTTTTATTTAATCTTGAGTGGTGTATAATCTGATTGTGAGTAATCGTTTTGGTTGTTCAGAGCTTGAAGCATAACCCTAATGGACGGTTCGTTGTTGTATGTGGAGATGGCGAGTACATAATTTATACTGCCCTGGCCTGGAGGAATAGATCATTTGGAACTGCACTGGAATTTGTTTGGTCATCAGAAGGAGAATATGCAATTAGGGAAAGTACATCAAGAATAAAGACTTACAGTAAATCATTTCAGGTACATGGTCTACTTTAGTTTATTGTTTTTCTATATATAAATTGTTTAATCAGATGCATGTTTCTAATTTCTTTCATAATTACCTAAACATTTCCTCTAGTTTTGGCGTCTGTAAAGATGCATCCTTTACTCCTTTAGTATTCAGTTGACTCTTCTAGCTTTCTTTTCTTTCATCACGTGTTCCTTTATTCAGTGATGTTTCTGGAAAAAATTCAACTTGTGCCCTTTGATTTCTGCAGCAAGTTTTTCCCATGATTTGTTACTAAGGCTTACAATTCATTGGAGATTCATAACTTATGCTTGTTGCATGTCCCTTGCCCGCTCACTTTTATTAGCCATATCACTTCTCTAGGAGTTGTAGAAGCGAATGTAAAGTTTGTGATCTAGCCTTTTTTTTTGAATTATTTCACAAAAAAGCAAATTGTAATCTTTTGGCATTCTAATTGTGTCCTGTGACCTATGACTTAAATTATCTGGTTTTTTAGGAGAAGAAAACTATCCGCCCTTCATTTTCAGCAGAGCGTATTTTTGGTGGGGTATTGTTGGCTATGTGTTCTAGTGACTTCATCTGCTTTTATGACTGGGCTGATTGTAGACTAATACGCCGAATTGATGTGAATGTTAAGGTGAGTCAAGTATTATTTTTTCTTGGGTGGAAATTCCGTATGTTTTGAGTTTACTATTAACCTTTATCTTGTGTTTATAGAACGTTTACTGGGCTGATAGTGGTGACCTAGTTGCAATAGCAAGTGATACATCATTCTACATCCTCAAGTACAATGTAAGATATCGTATCCTCAAATGATTATTATTTTGTTTCTTTTTCCTTCTTTTACCCACCTCCTTGTGATGCATGGGGATTATAACACAAAATGATCAGATGATTTGTGCTTTGCAGAGAGATATTGTTGCTTCTTATCTAGAAGGTGGAAAGCCTGTGGACTAAGAAGGTGTCAAGATGCTTTTGAGCTGCTTCATGAGGTCAATGAGCGAGTGAGAACTGGAATTTGGGTTGAGACTGCTTTATCTATAACAACTCATCGTCGCGCCTAAATTATTATGTTGGTGGTGAGGTAAATATAGTCTACTCGAAAACATTTTCTTCTGCTTAAGTTCTCTATATGGGCACTATGTGTGTCACGACTTCAATAGTTATAAGCTTTATACTTACAGGTCACTACTATGTATCATTTGGATCGCCCTATGTACCTATTGGGATATCTTGCGAACCAAAGTCGAGTTTATCTTATTGACAAGGAGTTTAAGTGCGTTTTCTCAAAAAACAATGCTTCCTTTCTTTTGTAGCATCTGTTAATTTCTGTAACTAACATATAAGCTTGGTACAGTGTCATTGGGTACACATTACTTCTGAGTTTGATTGAGTACAAGACCCTTGTGATGCGTGGGGATTTGGAACATGCAAATGAAATTTTATCGTCCATACCAAAGGCGCAATATAATAGGTTTGTGATTACCTGTTTGTTCTAAAATATAAATTGATTTTTTTTGTATGCTCCTTTTTTTCTTTCTAATTTGTCTTTGCTTTTAGGCCCATTTTCTGTTTCGTGGAAGACAGCTTATATGTTAAATTGATGTATATATATCAGTGTCACATAACTATCCTGATGTATGCCATATCTAAATAGACTCCTACTCCTTTACTCTTTCCATTCCAAATTATAAGACATTTTGACTTTTCTAGATTCATAGTTTTTGCTATGCACTTGGATATACACTATGTCTAGATACATAGTAAAAGTAATGTATCTTGAAAAGCCAAAACATCTTATAATTTGGAAGAGTGAGTAAAAACTAAATATTGTTTTTTATCTTGTTTATGTTCATAATTTACTGAATTAATATACTTAGTTTTCTCCACCCTTTTTGTGTATTTTGTCAAACTTTATTTAGAGTCTGTTCTCTTCTAACCTCAGTTCTTGTTTCTCTTTCATATGACAGTGTTGCTCATTTTTTGGAATCGAGAGGTATGTTGGAAGAGGCTCTTGAGATAGCCACCGATGCTGACTACAAGTTTGACCTAGCTGTGCAGCTTGGAAAATTAGAAGTTGCAAAGGTACTGATTATATTGTCACTAATTTTCTTCTAATACCGTAGACTATATTTGAGGTATTGTATACTGCATTGCTGCAAAATTACTAACATATATTATAAGACCTCTCATGCCTATTTACTGTACAGGCTATCGCCATAGAAGCACAAAGTCAATCTAAATGGAAGCAGTTGGGCGAACTCGCCATGTCCACAGGCAAGGTTGGCTCTTAAACCTTATGAAAGTTTGTATTTGACATTTAAATAACTACATTGCTAAGAAACAAGTTTTCAAGAATGGAATGCCTCGTGTAGTTTGACGTTTTTTTTTGTGATCAAATAGTTTTGGGTCCGGGCCTTTAATCTTCTCAATACTTCAATGGAACATGTTTTCCTTGCCAAAACTCTCCATGCGAATCAGAATGATGTCAATTGAGACATGACCTAAATTGAACATATCCTATCTGTATTAGCTCGTGAATGATAGCTTATTGGCATGGGTATGCCACAACTCTACATTGCAGCTAGAGTTGGCGGAGGAATGCCTTCTTCAAGCGAAGGATTTAAGTGGCTTGTTGCTACTGTACTCATCTCTTGGAGATGCTGAAGGAATTGAAAAGCTTGCTTCTTTGGCAACAGAACATGGAAAAAACAATGTTGCTTTCCTCTCCCTTTTTATGCTTGGTAAAGTGGAAGATTGCATACAGTTGCTTGTAGACAGGTAAATCTTGTTTGCTGTGATTAAATCCTTGTTTTGGTGCTCTTTCTTTGAGAGCTAAACATTATCTTGTGTATTCTGCAGTAACCGTATACCTGAAGCTGCATTAATGGCACGATCATATCTTCCTAGCAAAGTACCAGAGACAGTAGCAACTTGGAGAAACGACCTCAGTAAAGTAATTTCTTAATGTTCCCATCTTAGTCTTCTTACTGAAAAGTGTCGTGCCATTCGAAAAAAATTTTCATGCTATTATCTTATTCTTTTTGTCTGTACATTGTATGCAGATTAATCCAAAAGCTGCAGAGTCTCTGGCAGATCCTTCTGAATATCCAAATTTATTTGAAGACTGGCAGGTTGCTCTAACTGTAGAAAAAAACATTGCTTCTCAGAGGTACACATTATCACACAAACTACTATGTTTTGTTCTAGCATATTGCTTACCAGAAGTTAAAAAAAACATTGAATCACAGAAACTTCTTATTGGTTCCAAAGAGTAATGTCACCATTATTGCATCTGCTCTGAGTCTTGAGCCCAGACCACCTCACAGTTTTTGATTAAGTAAAATTTTTGCAATAACATAAATCTTTATGTGCAGGGGCCATTATCCTCCTGCTGACCAGTACTTGAATCATGCTGAGAAGTCAGACATGACTCTTGTTGAAGCTTTCAAAAGGATGCAGGTCATGGAGCATGAGCAACTTGAAGATGCAGCTGAGGAAAATGGAGAACCTGATCAACTGGTATCTCATGTGCATTCTGCTTCTTATTGTCCATTTTCAATTATGCACTTTGGAGTTTTCTTAGGAACTTGATATTTATTATGATCCATTTTCACATCGGCCCATTCCTTATGTCTTGATTGATATGCAATTATTTCATTATTTCTCCTTGTCGACGACTGTAATTTTTGTTACCTTTTGGAATAATGAATAAAATTGTTCTCAGGCGTTGGAAGAGAATGAAATGCAGAACACAGATGATGCTGATGAACCTGAAGAGACAGTTTTTGTAAATGGGGATGAGGGTGAGGAACAGCAGGGTACGGACAATGAAGGAGCTTCGTCTGCTTAGAATTCTTTGTCAAATGTGGAAACCCCAAGTTTTGCCTATGATGATTCACTGTTCTGAAATTTTTGAGTTTTGATACCTCTGTAGCACGGATACGTCAGGAAGGTGCCGTATCTTGTATCGGATACGTCACCGATACGGCTTGGATACGTATCATCCGAGTATCCTGTTTTTGTTTAATTTAGGAAATATCGAGTACGTGACCTGATACGTATCAGCCACTGGGATACGGCCCAGCCCAACAAGCACCTCCTTATCTGCCCTGTGTAGCCTCGATTCCTCCCATGGTTGCACGGCACCCGCCTCCTGTTCACACGCGCTGCCTCCCGCGCTAGGGATGCACCACCACTCGCTGGCCACCGGCGACGAGCCCCTGCCCCCTCGCACTGCCTCCTGTGAAGGAGATGGGCCACTGCTCGCCGGCGAGCCCCCACCCCCTCGTGCTGACTCCCGCCCCCTTCAATTTCATGCTAATTCTCACAGACAGAAATTATCACAATAATCAAAATCATATTCCTTTTAATTTGATACACAGGTTCTAATAATCATCATCGATTATAGCTGTTAGACGTATCATGTTTTATGAAAAGATTACCCAACCCTGTCATCATGAAAAAAATACATAAAGTAAACATAAATACATAAAGTATCATGTTTTATGCGACGGTGCCCAGGGGGGCATGAGCCCCCTGTCGAGCGTTGTGTTCACGCGACGTTGGCTAGGGCTTAGGAGCCGTAGAAGGAGACACGAACACCAACACTAAGGCACGAGAAGACCCCTTGGCCTCTAGCATGTAGGCGTAGGTGAGTAGCCCGAGCCTAACTGATAAGCCCGAGAAGAGGAGTGCGGGCACCATGCACCCACGTAGGAACCTCCCAGAGAGCATTGGCGAGCGGGTGATGTTAGTGATGGTGTCGTCGTCATTCACGGCCACCTCCACCTTCGTGAGCCCGCACAACACCATGAGGACACGATGTGGGCCTGGAACCTGCCAATGCCCTGGTAAACTGGCGCCTGACGTCTGCGGTGGCACGGCAAGACATGGACCGAACATGAACAGGGCGATCAGCCCTATGTTCATGGTCATGAGGGCGTCGGTGCACCTCGTGAAACGTGCCATGCTGGACGGTCTGCAAGACACATGGATGTCGCACGCAGTTAGGGTAAGATTGGGAGGCTCGGCCGCAGTAGAGGGCATGAGCACCCCTAGTCGAGCGCCGCGCTTAGGCGTAGCAGCACCCTCGCCTTGGCGGTGACACACTGGAGGCCGCCGTCAAGACGCGATGCTTCACATGGTTGGTGATGGGCGCGACGCCGAACATGGCGAAGACCAAGAAGAAAGTCGGCCTGACGACCAGCTGGTAGTGCTCGAACAACTTTTGTCGGGCAGGCAATCGAGCCAAAGTCGTCCTGCTCCGCCATGAAGACAGCTCTGTACTGTACGTCATTTGTCTCTACCGTTTTGCTGGTAATTTGGTTTTCAGTTCCTACCGGCCACCGCGCGAAGCATGGTAGTTGTTCACTTTTTTTAACAGAGCTGCTATATTTTTTTGGTAATAGAGTTGCTATGTTTTAGATACCTTGTTTTTTTAGAAATTTTCAAACGACAATCTTATCCAAACAACTAATATAACTAAAAGAACAACTTATATGAGACAATTTATAACAAAATTGTATGTTGCCTGAACAATAACAACAAAATCAGACACCTAAGATATAGGAGAAATGCTTTTTTAAAATAATAACTGGAGCAAAGGATTTGGCTTCATACTTCTTGAATCTTGACAGGATGAATCAATCCATATTAGTAACACTTAAGCACTAAGGCCCCGTTCGTTTATTTCGGAACAGGTCGTTCCGGGTGGAACAGAGCAACCTGTATCAAAAACTAGGAGTACTCTTGCCAGGATCGAAACCTGTTTCGGAGGCAGCCCAACAAGCCCTAAAGCAATTAAAGCACACTGTTTGCTCATGCTAACAAGGAAGCCTAAATAAAACCCAATTCTAGCTAAAACTATCTAGCCAACCACATAGAAAGTAAAGAATTGCATTGCAGCGCCTTGAAGACATAGGCATGCCACGACGATGCTATCCGTGTTAGCCTTATGCCACTGCAATTGTGTTCAATATCTGAATCGGTGTGTTTCTCTTAACAGAACCTGCAAAAATACTGGAACACTATCGTCGTCTTTTTAAGCCAGATTGATCATCAAACAACTGCTACACACCTATCAGCAATAACCTGTGTTGCTGACCTGCCAGAGTACCAACTATGAAAAAAAGTTTGTACATATTTAGAGGGGTTTAACACTTTAACTCCTATATATACCTACTAATAAAACTGGCCAGTCTCAATGCAATGTTTCGTGGCTCTGTTTTCAAGACTCCACGTCAATTTGATAGCTTTGAAACGAGGAATGAAATTGGCTCTCTCAATACACAGTTTCTAATATTTTTTCTCCAATAAATATTTCTCTTCCTCCTCACTGTTCGCTCGTAGAGCGCATATCTGTATATGCGAAGTGGGCTGTGAGAGCTTTCCGTGGATGGGCCTGTATGCAGCTGCACGTTTCCGTCCCATATATGTGAGGTTTGCCATAAGAGCTTTCGTGGGTGAGCCACAGGCCCACAGCCATGTACGTAGAGTGGTCTGGACGTAGAACGGAAATTATTTTTTATATCCGAGCTCGCGCACGTTGTCCGCCGCAGCGGACCCTAACAGCCCCCAAATTTCGGCGCGTGCTGCGAACCAGAACGGCGGAAACTTTGCGCGGAAAATCATCGGACGGTGGTTTCGGTGCGAACGGCCGGACCGACGCCCCGCGGTACCTGCCCCCGTGGCGCGCCACCGTGACGCGGCCGCACACGTCCAACCAAAGCTTCTTGAGCACGACGCAGTCCTCCTCCTGCCTGAGGTTGACGAACACCGCCTCCGTGACGGCCCGCCGGACGGCGCGTACCCGTGATACGGCGGCACGACGCGGCGCCCATCGTCCGTGGGCTCCTCGAGGGACAGGCGCGCGAGCAGGGAGCCGTCGGGCCGGAGCAGCGTGGCGCTGGCGGGGAAGCTGGTGGCGGGGATGGCACATGGATCTAAGGAGATGAAATTTCCCCCCCTCAACGCGACTGTCGTGCGGTTTCCAACAACCTACAAACTGCGCTCAGGGGTTGTTTGGTTCGAGCTATTAGTAGCTACTAAACGGTTTAGTCACTTTTAGTAATTTTAGAATTACTAGAGATGACTAAAGCTTTTTTTAGTAGCTTTTAGTCACAGTGCTTGGTTGAAAAGTTACTAAAATGACTAAAAGCTACTAAATTTAGTAGCTATTAGACGAACAAAACAGGCCCTCAGTCGTTTCACCACATGAAACGTTTACCATCTCTCTCCTCCTCGATACACGTAAAGATTTTTTTTTATCGATGTGTCACTTTATTTAATACTTATGAAACTCTCATAAAACCCTCATTGAGACTAACCTAAGCGTATTGGCAATTTGGCTTTCAAAGAAGAGATGATAGGTGTTAGCTATTCGCCATTTTGCCTATTCTATCAGCATGTTCGTTTGTTGGTTTCAGCCAAGACTTATCAGTCTGTCAACAGTGTTTTTTTTCTCACAACAAACTAGCATCACCCGAGCTTATCAACCCAGAAATCAACCAGCGAACATGCTGTATATCTTGAGTTGCATATGGTAGCTGGCCTGGCCCACGACTGCGTCCTGTTTTGTGTGCACCTTACGGACAGAACTTTACAGATTTGTTTCAATTGTGTCTGCTTGATTTCTGCTAATATATCTATGTCCATTTTTAGTAGACTTACTATAATTTGGAAATACCTTTAGAGATATAATTTGACCATTAGTTTCCTTTACTATATATATCATCAATTACTAGAGAATATAACGCCATATTAATATATGTTTGAAATATGTATGTACTTGTATATAGCTTTTACTATGCGCTAAGCACGCTGCAGGCATATAAATTAACATATTGTTGGACAAAGTTTAACTTTTTAAAATCCTAATACGTGTCCGATCCGTTCATGACAATTTCCATAGTTATATGCAATGAACAATGAACAAACTAGCTTGGTTTATGATATGAAAAAAAAGAACTGGCGTCTGGCGTTCAGAAGATGGCTGGATAAAGAGCTTCAATCTCAGCAAAGAAGAATGCATGACATCATTCGCTAATGCCAGTGCTCCACGTCGCGTTTTCTACCCATTCATGTCGGTCAAACCTCAGAAGTGTTACCGCTTCCTCCGGTTTTGCCTCCCGCCGATGGAACCGTCCAGAGCCGGTCAGCCTGTGCCTCGGCTGTCCAGTTGCCCGGTCACGCGGCATCACCAGCACGTTCGGAAGGCCGTAAACAATCGTGGATTATTTATTGTTGGCTGATTTGATGTGAGAGAAAAATACGGTTCCAGCTAAAAATTTACGATCATTTACGACCAAGCAAACATGCTACTCTCTTAACGATGAAAGGGATGAAACAAGATGGGATTGGGGGAAAAAAATCAGTTCTCGGTAAAATCAACTTACAATCATCTTGGCAGTGCTGAGTATGGGATTAACTGTAAACCTGTTTAGAAAGCCAACCTTCGCCTTAAAATTAAAATTTTTACGTGGCTAATGCTGCAAAATAAAAATATAATACGATTTTGACAAGAGATAACCTGGTAAAACACAAATGGTGAGGGATCATTCCTGTGCTTTCTGCAACGAGAAAGAGTCGCTGCAACCTTAGTTTTTTAATTTGTGCAGTAGCCAAGTTCGCTTGGGTCAGCTGTAGGCCTTCCTGCTGTGCTTCCTCTTTTGAACAATTTTGGGTGTAGATCAAGTTAAGCCGGCCGCATGGCAAGAATAATGTATATGCGGGTCTGGCAGCAGTCTGTTGGGCGCTTTAGCATGCAAGAAATGTTGTTTGCTTTAATGAAAAAAAAAGTATCCTACGCACGATCTCTTCGTCCACTTTCTTTTTGGTAAATCTTGAGGGCAT